TAGAGTTGAATCTGACCCCAAAGCCTCCTTCACAAGGACTGGCTTTCATAGTACTGGAAGGTGGTATGGAAGCTGCTAAAAGAGGAAAGCTTCAGTAGTCTCAGCTGTGATGCCTAGGAACCACAACAATGGCTATCATGACAAGATATTGTACTAAAGGAACAGTAGTGGTACTTAAATCTTGGTGGTAGCCAACAGCTGTCTAAATGAACTTACAGCTCACTCAGCAGGAGGGAAATCATACCTGTTACTGTTCACCTAGTCTGTTATTTATGGCTAGTGCCTAGTGAGATCATGGAACTTAGAGGGACATCTACTACCACTGCTTTCCCAAATCAGCATAGTTGTAACCTGTATTTTAAATAGTTATCTTTATGTGTACAGGTAAGGGTATCAAAGAAGCCTTATTTTTGCAACAGATGGAACTCATTACAGAAATCCATGATTGGCCAAAATGTAGAAATGCACTGATGTGAGGTACTCAGTCATGATTGATACATATAAAATGCAACCCCTACACCTATGGCTCTGGGAACCTAGTGGAAAAGGGGGCAGGAAGATTGTAATGGCCAGAGGACTAGTAAGTCTGTTGTGAGACTATGTCTTATAGATATCACAAGGAAGCTACCCACATGTTATAAAATGGAAGATATAAAGCTTAGAGACTGACACCATTCATTCAAGTACTATGAATCTTATTTATGAAATGCATCCGTATCACTGAAGAGATACTTTGTAGGGATGATGGTTAAGATTATACTTAATTATCATAAGTTTATTCGATTGGCAAAGGCAGAGAGACCCTGTGACATCATGCTTTTGAGTAGGCAGATTAAGGATTTCCTCACTAAGGTGTAACGCATTTTTTTTTTTTTTTATTTAAAGAAAAGCACATTTAGTCACACACACAATTCACAATTCTCTTTTCTTCTCACCCACCTGAACTCTTGACCATGAATCCCCACTGCTAATATGTATCAGGAAAAATGTCCACAGTGACCCAAATAGCATTAGATTTATGAATTTGGAGCAACATAATAGCCGGCCGGCCAGCCCCCAGCACTGGAAGTGGGTTGCAATCTTGTACTTAGTTGTGCTACAACTCCTTCATAATAAAATAGCAAATTGAAGTGATTTTCAGACAGTGTGGGAGACCAAAGGGAAATGTTCCTGCCTCCAGTAAGCACAGAAGGCTATTAATGAGCCATGTCTGGCTCTCCCACCATGGAGTGCATTCAGAGACTGCCTGCTTTCTGTGTGCACAGAAGCTGCGATTATCAAATTCTAAGGCAGTGGTTGGAAAAATGACTTAGCTTTTCAGAATTTATGGGCTATATATATACTTACATATTTTATTTGTGGTTGGCAAGGAGAATTGAGAACTTGCTGTTGACATGGGTTTATACAGTACACTCTAAGCTCCTGGAGAAGAGTCATGATAGTAAAGTGGGAACAGGATGTTAAAGGGTAAAGCTGTTAGTGGCCATAGTTGCCTTCATTATTGTCCCTGGTTTTATGCATTTTTTCTTCATTATTGTCCCTGGCTTTATGCATTTTTTCAATAGATGGCATTTAACTCATGGTAGTTCTCCTACCTCAGCTTCTGAAATGCTGAAATTACAGGTATGAACAATCATGCTCAGATTCTTCTTGTATTTTAATCAAGTAAGGTTCTATTTTAATTTTGAAGAAAAATCCAGCATGCGTATAGACTCCTGAAAATATTTCTAACATTTTCTTTTAAAAAACACTTGAATTCATATATCTACTTCTACAATTTGCTACCTTAAAGTTAATAATTTTCCCTTGGAATTTATTCATCATACCTAGTACTGGGTTACATGAGGACAGTTTCTTACAGGTATAGAATGTACACTTTTGCATTCTCCTTTTCCTCTCTCCTCTTATCCATTCAATTCCCCCCAGATAGCTTTATATTGACTTTTATTTCACATATACAGATATGATTTTTTTTATGTAAAATCTAAAACACATATGTTTGAATAGTAATGTCCCCCGTAGGCTCATACATTTGAATGTTTAGTTACCAGGGAGTGACATTATTTGAAAAGGTTTGAAGGATTAAGAGGTGTGGCCTTTCTGGAGGAAGTGTGTCACTGAGGGTGGACTTTGAGGCCTTAAAACAAAGTTCATGCAAGCCTAGAATCCCTCTCTGCCTATGGATCAGTATGTAGTTCTTAGCTTCTGCTCCAGCATCTGGCTGAAGGCTGTCCCAATTCCTGTCATGATGGTAATGGACTGAACCTCTGAAACTGAAAGCAAGTCACCAATTAAATGCTTTCTCTTATAATAGTTGCATTGGTCATTGTGTCTTCATAGCAATGGAACAGTAACTAAGGCACCAAGTGAGAGGAAAATATGATATCTGTCATTCTGAAATGACAATTAGTTCAATATGACTATATTAAGTTATATCTAATTTTCTTCAAATAGCACACTTCATCCTTGTCTATAACTGACAAAACTCCACTGGCTATACACACCACACTTTAACTGTTCATTTGTTGACAGAGGTTAGTTCTATTACTGAGCTATTTTGAAAAGTGCTGCGATAAACTCTCATGTGCAAATATCCATGTGCGGTACTGAGTTGGAGTCTTCAGGTAAATATACAGGGGTAAAGTGGGGTTACATGGTGGTTTTATTTTCAGGATTTTGATTAACCTCATATTGACTTCCATAGGTGCTGGATGAGTTTATGTTCATATCAGCAGTGTATGAGGGGTTCCATTCTGTCCACATCCTTCCCATAATTTGCTATTTGTCTTCTCTATGAATGACATTATGACTGGGATGAGATGGAATCTTAAGGTAGTGTTTATTTGCATTTCTTCAATGGCTAGGGATAATACGTTTATTGGCAAATTGTAATTCATCTCTTCATTTCTGTAGCCCATTTGTCAAGTGGGTTATCTGATTTCTAATCTTTTAGAGTTCTTTGTGTATTTCAATGATATAATTTTAGTGAAACTTGCATATGCTGAGGCAATACCCACCAGGTGCAGAGTTGACAGTGACTTACAGGGAGAATCAAAGATCAATTTAATGAAGAGAACTCACAGCGTGGAGTCATGCTTTTGTAGCCATGAAGACTTACATGTGGATCTTTTGTTATAAACTTTACAACTGCCAATAAAGTTCTTTTAGCAACTGTAGTCAGTAAATACTGTTTACATGCCATTATACACATAGACCAGAAGAGACACAGGAAAGCTGCCAGCCTGTGTAAGAACCCACAGCTTGTATGACACAGAGCTAGAATTAATATAGAGTTCTACATTCACATAGTAGTATTACTGGTGGCCATCATCAACTAAAGCTTCACTTCTTCCTAGCCTGTCAGATACCTTCATGGTGCATAGAGCTGAAAAATAGTAGTTCTGAAAAGTTAACTCATGAAATATACCATTTATAAGCATGTGATATAGGATGTCATATCTTTTAATTATTGTTCTTTATACATATCATTATTTATTCCTTGTTCAGTAGAATAAAAAGTGTATCTGAAATTAACATTTCCACCTAATTTTCTTTACCAGGCATTTGGTTTTCAACAGTAATTTTCAACAGTAATTTAAATTGAATGTCTGCTACATTATTTGCTGCCATATTTTGCTTTGGGTACTTGTTTCATAAAACCAACCTATACCAAACATTATTCGATAATGTGTCATTTGACATATACATGATTAAATATGCTCTAGACAAAAATAATGAAAAGACATAAATGTACTTGTATTTTAAATCCTGTAGGTGGCCCTGATGAATTATTCTCAAATAATTCAGAGAATTTGCAGGTAAAATGAGCATATGTTATAAAGCAGAATACTCTGAAATAGACACAGCAGAGAACAAACAGCTCATCTTCACAACCTATGAATTTCATTTTGCCTTAAAGAGCACACTTGGTTAAGAGTATGTGCTGTGAATGTAGTTTGTACTTATTACAACCTGAAGATGCTGCTGAATTCAGCTGCAGAGGTTGGATCTGGACATCAAGCCAAGTCACAGGACAAATACACCGTCCTCACCAACATTGAGAGCAGTTGGAAGAAGAGGACAGGAATCAAATGAAAAAGGGAGAGATTAGGTCAAGGGAGACAAACAAGATGCAAATGGAAAATGTCCAAATATCACAGGACAGAAAATTTGGAAATATAAAGAAAGACAACAATTTCTAGATAGAAAAAACCTAGCCATTTCATAAGTACAGATAATATGTATGACTTTTGTTGGATATATTAAGGAGTACACCGTCATGTAAATATGTCACCTCTCCTGGGGACAAAAACAATTACTTCAGTGAATATTTTTGTATTTCATTTCATTTTCACCATCAATGTGTATTTTCCAAGCATATAGTGATGCTTTAAATCTTAACATGTGATGAGTACACTTTGAAAAATAATGTTGAGAGTTTCTTTGCTTTATTTTATTACACTATATATATATTCATGTGAAGTCATCTTAGAATTAATTTTAGGTTTTTATTCTAAAAGATATCATGGCTGAAGGAATTTTATTTGTTCTTTTCCTCTTTAAACACAAGGAACAAAATTGGCAGAATTTTGGTAAATGTATAACAGTTCAAGGGATCAGCATTTTAGAAAATGCATAAAATATTATACTAAATTGGTAAATGTGATATCGCTTCATGAATAGCTACGAGTGGCAATTGAGTTTTATTTTTTACCTCTTAATTGATAGTACAATTATTTGATATATATATATGTATAAATTTATCATTAATATGACAAGTGAATTTTGAATTTCTAGGAGAAATCAATGATATTATTATGTGTCCATCCCATCTTCTGAGCACTGCTCTGTGACATCACAGAACCACAGAAATGCACCTGCTTCCATTCTCTACAGAGAACCCATGCATTACATTATATAAAAAATAATTCATGGTAAATGATCTCAAGTATAGATCTCAGAACAGCTTATTTAAATGGCACCAGAAAAGAGCACCTCACCCGCAAAAATGAGTCAAGGGATCCATTCTCCATGTACTCTACTACGATCATTACCGGCCGGCCTGCAAGAGAGCAAGAAACATACACCATTAGCGCAATTACAGAGAGATGTGCTGCAGGTAGGGCTTCCCAGTTGCTGTAGCTAACGTCCTCTTTTATGAAAGTGTACTCATATATGCATCTCCTATTTTCCCCCATGACAAAATTTCTTTCTGAGATCACAGAGGGACATGGGTTACAATCTGAGTTACAAAGGAATTAAACATGTTTTACAAATGTCTTGTGATTGCTTGTATAGATTGGTTGTGGTTCTTTTTTTTATTTTCCTCTAGTTTTTCCATAAATGACAACCAGGGCACTAAAGTCACCATATAAGCAGTCACTGCTTGTTGTGGCACAACTTCCATGATGTTTTAACACTCCCCCTCCTTACATACATTAAAATGGGCAGTTATGAAATTATATCTGTATCAAAGCAGAAAGGAGAAATTCCTGAATCCTCTTTGACTACTTATGAAAGATCAGACATAGACTGCTTTTTAAGGGATTTCAAACAGAATAATTTTTGGCAGATTGATGAATACCGCATGCTGGGTAGGATCTGCATGAATGCCTGGCCATCTCTTTATTGGACACAGATTTGATCAGCAGAGGGCCGATGGCCATGCATGAAAACCAGGTAACTCTGGGTTGTAGTCTAGTGCAGAAGAAAAGATCAGAAACTGAGCATCAATTACTTCTCCTTTTATCATATCAATTGTTATAGTTCCCAATACATCTCTATTAAGTAGAATATTTGACATGAATAACTTTGATTTGTTTCAAAGAAGGGAATGTGTTTGCTCTCTCCAATTGCACAGGCTTAAAAGATAAAATTTCAATTGAGTGGAAAATGATATTTACCTGAAATAGGAATCTATCAATGCTTACTTTTTCTTTCTACATTTTTATTTCTGATTAGAATTCTTGATGATTTGATCTGAATGGCACACAGCTATTTTTATGAAACACCAAAAAATGATCTGGAAAGAAACTGTGCCAATGCCGATGATGAAAATGTTGGACTCATAATTCATTTTTTCCCCCCTGAACTCAAAGCCTTGCAGGTTAGAAAGGTAGCCATCGTAAATTGCCTCAATGTATGCAAATGCTAGATTTTACATTTGAATGTATATTTTAAAGAAAAATGAGCTAAAGGTTAAAAGGTGAAATAAAGCTCCCATTTTATCATGCATAGAATTCAAACCTAAGGAATTTTTCTATTTGGACATAATATTAACTTATGTTCAATAACACCCCTTAAAGCTATTAATCTTGTCCATATGAACAAAGAACTTTATCGGCAGTTCTAGAGGTGAGATGAACTGTTAGCACTCTCCCAGAAAGGGGTAAAGAAGACCTGGTTTGAAGCCTGAAAACTTTTCATTCTACCTTTTATTTGTCCATGGTTACAGAGAACCAAGAGGTAGTAGTCTAAGGCCAGCACTTAGTTAGGAAAGTGGTGGAAATCTGAAGCTATCATTGTACCTCAACACTAAATTCTGAGCAAATATTCAAGTTAGAATGGTAGTGGGTTTTGATTTCCTAGGAGGAAAAATGCTGAGTCTGCTATGGGTACCTGAATTATGCCTCCTAGGTATTTTCATACCTCTGTAATAGCTACTGGTCATTGCTGTCAACTGTTCATTTGAAAGTACCTATTCCTCAACAATGCGAGTTTTGTGAAAAATCAAAGAGCTTGTAAACACTTCCTTGTGTTGCTATATCCCTATGATACAGATAAATTGAGGGGTAGAAAAGTAAAGTATATTTCTTGAACCAAAATCCAGTAAGGGACAGTATTAGTCATCCTGTCTGGTGTTTGGGATTGTTGAACTTTTATGGTTTAGCTGCATGCATCTCAGAAGAGATGAGTGGATCATATCTCTAAGTCTAGTCTGCCTAACTATTATCTGCAGTGAAGGATGTTTTCCTAACCAACTTTGCCACCCTTAGCTCTGCCAGATGTGTATTATTTTAACTTGTTCAATTCTGCCTTCTACCTTCCATTTTGCTATTCACCAGTCAGTTATTTCTCAACTTTCCCCTCTCTGCAATACCCACATAAAGTGTCACCCCTCCAGAATTTAAACACTGTATATCCTTGCAAGCCTTCATGCTGATGTTTCCAATAGATCCCATCACTGCTACTGTGTATGCTATGATATGCTCTGCCTGGCCTTTGTTTTGCTTTGTCCTTTTCCTGTAGAGGCATATTCTCACTCGCTGGGTTTCTCAAGGTTGCTTCCTATAGAGACAAGCATAGTAGGTGCTTTAGAAAATGATGTTTTCTTACTGATTTCATTATCCTTGTGAAGCTAAAATTGAATTATTCCAGCAAGATTTATAACTGGGTGAATACAAAGTACTTGGGGCTTAGTTCTATCTATAACACTTTTGTATAGGTACTTTTGGCAGTCTTAAAATCCATCAGTGATAAGTTTCCCTTCTCATTTAGAATGATAAGAAATGAGATGAAGATTCCCCAAGTTTCTTCTGAGTTAGAAGCTCCTTTTCAGCCTTCTTTTGCATTTTGTGGAGAATTCTCAGTTGAGAGTGGCTGAAGTGTTTTCTCAGACTATTGTCAGAATTTAATCTGTAATTTATTTCCTAATGGTCTTTTAGAGGGAATATGTAGTTATAAAATGTGAAGGTCGAAGGCAAAGTTGTGGTTCCTTATTGCATTTGTGAAAAAAATATATAGGAATAAGGGAACTTATGAAAATCTAAATGCTATTCTTTAATTCTATTTTAGGTGAGTGAGGCTTTTTGGTACACATTCCTTTTTTGACTTGCTTTTTCAATATGCACAATTACATATGTAAATCACATGTCACATATTCTAAGAGTATGACTGCTCCTAAAAGATATACTTGGAAGTAATTGATTCTTTTTCTAAATTTTCAAAAGTAACTGAGATCATTTCCTTTAGTAAATTTTAGTTTGTTGCCCCAAATGCCTCTTATCACAGCATCTTCCTAGTGACGGAATTGGGCTAAAGACAATGAGCACACTCCAGGATGCTTTAACCTCAGTCAGTTCTCAAAATTCCCACTTAATTTACAGAAATTTCATTGGTTTGAAGTTAATTTTCCTAAGCTACCCAAAGTTACTGTTTTCAAGAGCATATAATCATAAATTGCCAGATGTTATGAATCGTCTTAACTACATGAGACTCAAAATCTGAGAAATCACTTATTTATTTTCTGAAGATGATCACAGAATTCCTTTATCATCTTTTCATAGACAACAATAACTCTTTTCTTTCAGTTGAAATTTTAGGGAGCGCATGCACGCACACACACATATGTATGTGTGTATGTATGTGTATGTATATATATATATATATGTGCACATATACACATATTCAAATACTTCCCAACACCTATAATGACTTTGATAAAGGAGGTTTGCCGAATACATATGACCAAAAGACTGTACTATTTTCTTGATGGCATTAAAGAAAAGAAAACAAAGGGATCGTTTAACTTTCTTGTAAAAATCTCAGGGGAATACTCTGCTGGTGAAATAGGTTTTCTTCAGAGCAAATTTGCGAAAGTGGAGGATTACAGAGATTTGCCATTTTTATAGAAGTAATGAGTCTGTGATGGATGCGGTGTTTTGAAGCAGTTCAGCAGTTTCTAATGTGCAGTCAGTAGAATGAAGAATCGAAACAAATCTCAACAACCTCAGAACTCTATTACAGATTTAAATCACTCTAGTTTATTTAACATTCGATCATGTCTCTATTTTGTCTACCAGGTTATAAACTTGCAGCAGTAACTTTCATTGACAGAGTGCCAGTGCTCTTTCTACCCACATTCAATCCACTGCTTTGTATGCTAGTTATTTCATCTTTCCTTCTTCCTGGCCTCTTTTACAGATAGGGAATTCCAATTACAATCTCCTCTGGGCTTGAGAATAAATGAAATAATTTTCTTATCCATGTAATGCTTTCCACAGATATGGGCAATATAAATCTGAAAAGATATAATGTACTAAATTATTGTTTTCATTCACATGATAACTACCAAAATTGGGAAACCGTTTTACTCTTAAACTGTTGCCTGGTAAGTATCAGAACCTCTCTCAAACAAAACTCATCCTCAATGACTTTGAATTTTAAGTTATTTTAAATTTATAAATGAAAATCTAATACTTGTGCACCTATCAGGTACCATGTGATGTTTCAATAACGCATATATTGTACAATATTTCAATAAGGATAAATATCTCCTCAGCCCTTTTTATTTTTCTTAGCAGAAACATTCAAATTCATTTACCCACAATTTGAAAGATACAGTACATCATATTCCCTCTGCTGTGGCACATCGGAACTTCTTGCTCCTGTGTAATTTGCTGATCACCCAACCACTGCTACTCATCCCAAATTCCGGTAATCACCACCCTCTCAGTTGCTCTGAGATATACCAGTTTATATTGCACATTGCATTGCAAGAATGCAGCTTAGCACAGTGATCTCTGCAACCGTGTCACCACAATCTGTAACCCTTCCCTATGTGAGGACTCTGTCAGGAACGGACTGGAAGCCATTCACATTACCCTTTAGCAAAAGTTCTCTGCATTCTGTCTGTGTCCTGAAAATCAGAATGAAGCCGAATTCAAAAAAAAAAAAAAAAAAAAAAAAAAAAAAAAAAGCTGTATTGTTTGGGGGAAAAAGTTTCAAGGTAGCATACTATCTGTGGTTACTGCTCACTGATCTTAGATTTATAGTTGGAGAGAGCAGAATGAGACTTAAAAATGTGCAGTTTGGCAAGTAAAGGAATCTGAGTTAACTTTAAAGTTGCAATAAAGGCAGGCACAGACAAAGCATTTGTAATTTGTAATTGTTAAAAAGATTAGAACTGTTACAGATCACAGAATTTATATTGGGCCAATTAGGAGAGCACCTAGATGGCTGAACTCTACCTACTCTAAGATTCTAGATTCGAGCATAAATTCATTAGATAATAGGATCCCGAGAGAGAGAGAGAGAGAGAGAGAGAGAGAGAGAGAGAGAGAG